TTTTTAGACGGATTCTCACTCTGTTGCCCAGACTGGAGTGCAGTGGCACGATCTCAGCTCACTGCAAGCTCCACCTCCTAGGTTCAAATTTAAAATGATCCTCCTGCCTCAGCCCCCATAGTAGCTGGGATTAAGGGCAAGTGCCACCATGCCTGGCTAATTTTTGTATTTTTAGTAGAGACGGGGTTTCACCATGTTGACCAGGCTGGTCTCAAACTCCTGACCTCAGGTGATCCACCCGCCTCAGCATCTCAAAGTGCTGGGATTGCAGGAGTGAGCCATTGTGCCCAGCCATATGTCTTATTCTTAGAGCTTCCAAGATTTTAATATAGAAACTGCTCAGTTTAAAAAAAAAAAAAAAAGACATGTACTCTGATTACAAATGTGTCTGGGGAGCTTTGAGCATTAAATGACTAAAGAATAATTTTATATGTAATGATAATTATGTCAGGCTAAAAACCAACTTGAGTTAATGTTTGTAAACAAGGAACAGCAATTAGCAATTTCAGTAATTAGGAACTGGTTTGTAAAGGGTAAGAAGAAGAGCATGGGACTTTGTGAAAACCCTGTTTCTGTCTTTAAGGCAGTACACAGACACACTAAGGTGTGTCTCTGTTGGGAACTAAAAAATGTATGAATACATAGGAAACGTAAGCACTTCAATTCTTACCACATTAATGAACAGGGCGAAGTTTTCAAAGAGATGCCTAGCACAAGAGAACACTCAGGAGCAATGGAAATGATCTGTATATTGGCTCTAGAGTTGGTTATGTGCATACATGCCTTTACTGAAACTCTCGGACTTTTCACTTAAGATCTGTAAGTCTTGCTCCAAGGTATATCTGAAAAAGTGCAGTAGAAGCACACAAAGTTGGGCAGCAGCAGACCTGTTCTATCACTAACTAGTTCTGTGAGTTTAAACAAATCATGTAACCTAGTTTCCTCATCTGAAAAAACAAGGAGATTATGATAGATGGTTTTCCAGTTCTCTACCAGCTTCAAGAGTCTCATTGACTTTTTTTTTTTTTTTTGAGATGGAGTTTCACTCTCATTACCCAGGCTGGGGTGCAATGGCGCGATGTCGGCTCACCGCAACCTCCGCCTTCTGGGTTCAGGCAATTCTCCTGCCTCAGCCTCCCAAGAAGCTGGGATTACAGGCACACACCACCATGCCCAGCTAATTTTTTGTATTTTTAGTAGAGACGGGGTTTCACCATGTTGACCAGGATGGTCTCAATCTCTTGACCTTGTGATCCGCCCGCCTCGGCCTCCCAAAGTGCTGGGATTACAGGCGTGAACCACCATGCCCGGCCCTGACAAATTTTTTTAAGTAGCAATGATTTTATGGGAATTATTACTCTGATTTAGGACTTTGGCAATTTTCACATTAGAAGTTTCTGTTATATTATTCTATAGTCTAATATATTCTATTAAGTAACACATGAATACAGTATAATCATTAAAAGAAATTCAAATGATATAGATAAAGCCAAAGTTTTCCCTGGTCCCCTTCCCGTAATCCTAGAGGAAACCTGTTTACCAGCTTTCAGTATATTCTTCTAGGTTTTTTTGTTGTTATTGCTGAAGAGGCATAATGGCTCTGTGGCTCTTAGCCTTAGCTTTAGCCTCTGCGACTCTTTAGTCATAAAGACTGAGGAATAATTCTGCCCAGATCCAGAACCTAGTAAAACCATCAACCAGTGTAGAACCCTGAAGTCATCCAAACTCCCTATGCTTCAGTTCCCAAACTAAAAACAGCAACAAAAATGGCAACCACTCAGGAGGTTGTTGTGCCAATTAGATATGGTACATATTAAACACAGAACAGAGCCTGAACTCAGTATCAGTTATTACTGATAAACTTTTAGCAATTTTATAATAAAATATCTATACTTATTCTTCCAATTCATTTGAAGAATAAGTAATTTAAACACATATCCTAAATCAAGAAACATACTCAAAGAGCAACATGAAATATAAATGCATTCAGGAAAACAGATCTCTTCTCTTGGAATAGTCATTGATCTTGAAACCAAAGTGTCCTTTGATATCATCTGATACATACCTTGCAGATGAGGAAAGTCAGGCTCATCAAGTCATGTTACTAATATTTCAAATTTTTATTTATAATGCGAAATATTTAGTGGGTGGGTGAGAGATGAATAATAAAATTCAAGAAAGCCATGTCCAGCCCTGTCTCTGTAGTTTTGTCCCACCACTGAAAATCATTAAGCCAGGCGTCCCCAAACTTTTTACACAGGGGGCCAGTTCACTGTCCCTCAGACTGTTGGAGGGCCACCACATACTGTGCTCCTCTCACTGACCACCAATGAAAGAGGTGCCCCTTCCTGAAGTGCGGCGGGGGGCGGGATAAATGGCCTCTGGGGGCCGAATGTGGCCTGTGGGCCGTAGTTTGGGGACGCCTGCATTAAGCAGTCATGATACCTAGGGACCCGAGGACACAGAGAGCATAACATGGCTAAACACTGTGATTAATAGCTGAGCTTTGTTTCTAACTTATGAATGAGGGTTCAATGTGCTTGCTTTATTTTCATTTAGCACTTATTCTATAATAGACTTTCCTTTCTTAATTAAAAATCCTTTAATCAGGGAGGCTGAGGCAGGAGAATTACTTGAACCTGAGAGGCAGAGGTTGCAATAAGACAAGGTCACACCACTGCATTCTGGCCTGGGTGACAGAGCGAGACTCCGTCTCAAAAAAAAACCCCAGAATCCTTTAATTAAGGAGGGGGAAAAATTGCCTGGTTAATTTGTGTTTTACTATTTTCTTGACACAGAAAGACATAGAGACTAAACTTTCAACTGAAAAAGAACAAAGTACCACGTATTCTTCCACTTGAGCCTAATCAATCTTTTACCTTTACACACAGTGATAAGAGCCTGTGCCAAAGGTTCTTGATTCTGCCTACGTGAAAGGCTATACCTGACAGCCACTTAGTCCACAAGTCATCCTTCAATAAAGAAAAGTCAAGGACCCCAACTCCAGGTCTGCACTGTTTCTGTACTGCTTGGGGACAGATGCTCCCTCTGCTGGGGTGGCCCCTGCTCTGGCAAATGATCTGTTTGCTCCCATGACAACCCACAGTGCAGAGAGCACACCCATGCAGTGCCCTGTTGGAGATGAGAGAGACGAAGGGCAGGGTGAAAGGCCGGAGCTTGCCCTTTAACCAGACCCAAGTGTTTCCCTGGCCTTCTTGGCTGAATGCCACATCAACACATTTCCAAGAGCAACAGCTGGCCTCAGGGAGCAGCGAACTATGGCCCCTGTGTGATTTAAAGATCCCTCTGCCCCACATTTCACCTCGCTCTCCTTTAAAACTGTCTGATGTGCTATACTTGAGACTTATTCCTTTCGTTTAACAATCATGTCTTAAGATGTAAATGTCCTTGGGACCATTTGCTAATGCAGTAAGATCCAACAGTCATTCCCACTATGGCATGAGTTTTGTTTCATCCATCCTTTCTACTAGCTAAGAGCATCAAATCTAGAGAAGGAGAGCTGGGTTTATTGTTCTTATTTTATCTTTTGACTCAAGAGACTAAATTATGAGGGAAGGAAGGGTGATTTGGGAGAATGGGGCCCTGCTGGGAAGGGTGGAGAGGTGAATAAAGAGGGTGGGCTGCTGGCGGAGAGCAGGAGGACCCAGATCAATCTGGGTGAGCAGGGAATCCAGTGAGGAAGTATACATCCAAAACAAGCCCCATTATTTCACAACTATGGGACTAGCCTACTTCAGGGAATATCACTCCAGATCTTGGCCATGACCTAGAGTTGCATAAAATCTGCTTATCTTTCAAATTAGTACCACAGTGACTGATGAGAGCAGTTTTTTGGTAAACTGAATTTAAAACCCAGTGATCACATGAAGAAAAGCTTAACTTTTTCCGAAAGGAGGGTGTATAAACAAAAAAGAAAAAAAGTGCAACAAAAATTACACACACACACATCATCATGTACAAATTATAATTCACATAAAGAACAGAATTCCCAATTACAAAGTAAAGGCTGTGACAGTATTATGTATAATGACACTGATAGAGATTATCTTCCCACATTGGCCTGCCGCCCCGTCCTACGTTTATATAGCCATGGCCATGCGGTATTTAGGGTGGAATAAGGCCAAGGCTTACACAACTGTTGTCCCTTGAGGATGGAATGACTGGCCACCTTTCCTCAAAAGTGTGCTACGCACATGTGTGAGCTGGTAGCTATGGATTGCCTTCAAATAAACAACTGTTTTCAAATCTGCCTAGACTATTGAATCACCCAAGGTACCTGTTTAAACCAAGCCATTCCTCAAAATTCTGATTCAATAGGCCTAGAAAGGGCCCAGGAAATTGTGGTTTTCTCCAGCACTTCAGATTATTTTTGTAATCAGGAAAATGCTGTAAATACCAAGATAAGACATCTATAATTTCAGGAAGAAAACTAGAAAGGCAGAGAGGCCAGAGGGAGTCGTTTCTTTCCTGAGCTTGGAAGTAGCATTGCTGCCTTGTTTAGAGGATAGAGTACGACTTTAGGTCCAATCCACTGCCTGTTTTGAGCTGAGAACTTTCCATGATGTCAACAGAATATAAGAATCCCCGATAAAGAAGGAATTCAGCTCCTATAATATGAAGGCCTATTAATATCCATAAACTCACTAACCTTTTGGAAATATGCAATTAAGATCTAGTGTTGGCCAGGCACGGTGGCTCATGCCTGTAATCCCAGAACTTTTTGAGGCTGAGGCGGGCAGATCACTTGAGGCCAGGAGTTCAAGACCAGCCTGGCCCATCTCTACTAAAAATACAACAACAACAACAACAACAACAAAAACAGATGTGGTGGTGCACACCTGTAATCCCAACTACTTGGGAGGCTGAGGCAGGAGAACCACTTGAACCTGGAAGGCAGAGGTTGCAGTGAGCCAAGATCACGCCACTGCACTCCCGCCTAGATGACAGAGCAAGACTGTCTCAAGAAAAGAAAAAAGATCTAGTGTCATGCAGCTTATTGTGATATTCCTTGATATGCTCGTGGTAAAGTCATGGCCCCGCCGCTGCCAAAAATAAATGAATGTTGATACTGTAATGGTGCAGCCAGAGTTCTGAGATAATAAACTAACATTGGTTAACACAGCAAGTTAAAATGTGGATAGTGCCCACAGCTACTTTCAAGTACAATACACAAATGGAACACAACTTTTCACAAGAATTCCTTTACCAAGGAGCTGTATTCAGAGTGCCATTCAGCAACTTCCTAATACATGGCCTAGGCCTGAAAAAAAAAATAGGAAAATAAAAACAGTAATTATATAGAGTAATAGGATTATAAGTGAAGTTTTTCTATATTTATTCTCTATATTGTTATTTTAACATGATTGAGTGTATTAAATAAGAAATCAGCAGTTGTTATTACTTGCTATTCACTCATGACTATTTTGTCAAAAAGCAAATGAAAGTATTTCTTAATGACAACTGAGCCAGTTTACCAATGCTTCTATTCATGAAGATATGATATTCCATCCATACATTCCTCTGTCATAAACTTCATTTTCAGACATGGAAACAATATGAGAGGCATTAAGAATCATGTTCCAATTTTGGAAAAAGCACTTCATACAGTATGAAAACAGAGTTCAATGTTAACTAAAATAGCACGGGGCATTCTGGAAAACTTAAAATATGCCACAGAAGCCTCTGAGGTAAAGAGAAGGGAGAAGTTAGGGTTGAGAGGGTTAGGAAATAAGAACAGAGTGGAAGAGGCCAGCAGCCCAGGAATTTCCTCCATACACGTAGGCTGTGGTCTTTTTTACTGCCTGAGGCTGGGGCCAGAGCCTCCAGAAAAGGCATTGTGGCTAGTCCCAGGCACTCCAGGAGAGAAAGCCTCTTTGGAGGAAATAGAAATGTACATTGGAACCATTGGATCTGGGCCTCATGGTCCTTTCATGCTTTGAGAGAGGGAGAGGGTCGACCAAGTGCCTACTGGTAGGACTGAGAGGATGATCACAAACAGGATGCCAGGCTCCTGAAGTGGAATGGGAATGGCTGATATCAGAAGGAGGGGCTAAGACCAACTCTGTGATGGTGAGGGGAATCCTGGCTAAGCAGGGGAAAAGGAAAAGATAAAAGCCCCAAAGAGAAACCACGAGGACCTGTAGCCTCAAGGTTCTGTAGCTGAGTGCAGGCAGGCAGGCACCCAGGCAGACAGACAGACAAAGGTTGTTCTCAGGCATTCCTGGCTGAGCTCAGACTATCCTGCTTTGCATATCTCATGAGCATTTTCCTGTTTGACTACAGCTGACTCAAGTATCTTTGCTTCCAAAGGATTTGCTAATGGAGACATAATTGCAAGAGAAAGGCAGATGTTCCAGTCCAGGCCAACGGGAAAAGCAGAACTTTGACCTTTCTCCCAGTTTATGATGAGGTTTGGAATTCAGTCTAATCTTCAGATGACTTTTTCTTTCTTCTCTCACTTGACTTTCCAAAGAATGGCAGGGACCTTAAATGACAATTTTCAAACTAATACTTTCACCAAAAAGAATTAAATCAAAACAACCAGAAATCCCTCTTTTTATATTTTGGTTTAAAGTTTAGCATTCTCTTTCATGTTGAGGATGACCAGTTTTACACTTTACTGAAAAAAGTAATAACAAAATGTTTTAATTTTATAATTTACTTCCCCAAGAGTCCATCAGATTTTTCCAAACATTCACGTAGAATATATCCTTCAGTTTTTCATGAGAGGCTCTGAACATCAACGGGTAAGATTCTTCCATGACATCATTGACACCTTAGCCCAAATACCCTCTCCCCTGGTTGTATTTCCTTCTACAGTCGTGTGCTGCAACATAATGTTTTGGCAAACAACAGATTGCATATACAACAGTGGTTCCGTAAGAGTATAATGAGACAGGTGCAGTGGCTCATGCCTGTAATCCCAGCACTTTGGGAGGCCGAGGTGGGCTGATCACCTGAGGTCAGGAGTTCAAGACCAACCTGGCCAACATGGTAAAATCTGGTCTCTACTAAAAATACAAAAATTAGCCAGGCATGGTGGCAAGTGCCTGTAATCTCAGCTACTTTAGAGGCTGAGACAGGAGAATCACTTGAACCCAGGAGGCAGAGGCTGCAGTGAGCCGAGATCACATCACTACACTCCAGCCTGGGCGACAAAGGAAAAACTTCGTCTCAAAATTTAAAAAAAAGGGTATAATGGAGCTAAGAAACTGCAACACCAGGGTAAACAAACTTAACTGCAAGCAGGAGAGCCAGGATTTGAACACCCCTGACTCCAGAGTGTGTGTGCTGAGCTACCAAGCCTTCCTCCTCCCACCAGTATGATATACTAAATGCTCTGGGATCACCTCCTCCAAGTAGCCTTCCTGACCAGCAGCATCTCCACCCCACCTCCTCTGTTGTGGGTTACATCTGCCCTTAGTGTTCTCATAGCTCTTTATCAATTGTTTCCCAACAGAGACTGCATATCCCTTGAAGACAAGGTTTATGGCTTATTTATCTTTATAATCCCAGCACCTCCAAGGGTGGCTAATAAAGAGTAGGAGCTTACAGAGTGTTGAAATCAAAGACATCTAGAGAAGATGCCAGAATTAAATATCTATTATTCTCATGTTGAATCTATTATTATACATTTATACTTTCATTTTATATAATTGGCATTACTACAATTAACCCTTTTACAACATAATATTGATGGTTAATTTAGATTAATTTATTCTATTTTCAAGTAATTCTGCTAGAGCTCTTTGACTACAGTAGGCAGCTAAAATATTCAAGGAGTCAACAGTGGACAAATGAATAAATAAAAGAAAAATAAATGTCATATATTAAATAAAGTGGAATCAAATGGTAATTGTTGACTAAGAGTGAAGGCCAACATGTAACCAACCATAATGAATATTTGAGAGCTCCCATTTAGTAACCAATGCTTTCTCCTCTTGAAAGCACCCTTAACCCTTGACTTCAGAAGGCTACTAGCAAAAGTCATGATATAGAGAAAATGTACACTAGCAGAGTCCTTACTCGGAGCACAAAGTTAGAAGCCCAGCTCCTGAACAAGAGAGCAGAAGAGCATAGTGGTAAATCTTGAGCCTATACCTACTAGCATTTATCTTGAGCAGGTAACTTCTAGGATTTAACTTCTTCAGGTCTCAGTTTCCTCAAATGTAAAACAGAAGTAAAACAGCTCCTACTTCATAAGGCTGTTGGGAGGATTTGATAAGATGATATATATAAAGTACTTTCCATATTACCTGGTACATCGTAAGTGCTCAGTAAATGTCAGCTACTGTGGTCTAGGCAGACTGGTGAGTGACAGCAGCAATGTCCCACACAGCAGAACCAGCCTCGGTCCTGCAATAGTATGTCAAGGGAACTGATACGGTATAGACTCCCTGGATGCAAATGATCAGTTTCTAGTTGTGTAAGCTTAGAAGAGATGCTTAACGCCATTATGCCTCAGTTTCCTCATGTGTAAAATGGTGACAATATTACCTGATCCATATATTATCATGAGAATTAAAGATGTATTTATATATGTGTGTACATGTATATCCATATATACATGTGGCGTGTATATATGTGTGTGTATGTGTATATGTATATACATAGATATACATGTACACATACAATGCATACACACAAATGTATATGAACAGGTTTGGTACAAAACAATATAAATAAGCTGTTATTATTATTATTTTAGGCTACCTTCAGCCTTCATTTTGTACCCAACAGCTCTGATGTTGAAGTAGAGAAATGACATTCTATGTGGTCACTGAGGGAAAATTTAAATATCTTCCTACCTATTTTCAAATAAGCTGAGAAATCCTTGGTACTCAGAATTTCTGCTGAACAAAGTTGGAGTCCAATATTTCAATATTTCTTATTATTTATTTTAAATTATCTGCTTTTAAATTATTTATTAACCACTTTGTGACAATGCATGAAAATTCACATTTCTCCTACAAAAGTCTGGTTCTCCTGTCACTAAGTGTTTCAGAGAGAGAAAGAAAGAGGTCTGGCTCAGAACAGTTTTGCCAAGTAAAAACGCCCAAAACTGCTTACTCTTCTCATTTGATTACTCTTACCATAGAAAAAAAAGCAAAAAAGAAGGTTATGGGGACTTTAAATAAAACTCATTATATGGAAAGGAAATGGCACAAGTCATACACAAAACTATTGCATAGTTTCTGAATTAAGTCAAATAAAGCAAGGAAGCATCCAAGATAAGACTGAAACACACCCTTCCCACTGGTGATCTGTTATTCTCTGATTAAAAAAAAAAAAAAAAAAAAAACTGTAATAGATGCCAACCCTGGGCAACGTGAGGTCCTTGCAAAAAGCACCTTCTCTATTTCCTCCTACCAATATCCACAGCAGTGCTGTACCAAGACATTTCTGCACCCTAGACCTTTCCCATAGTCACTACATCTCTCTCCCATGCACAGCAGCACCCACCTCAACACACAGACAGTTACAGGGACGATTTGGGGTAAGGATAAGGAAAGAGAAGACTGAACAGTTTGACTGAACCTTTCAAACCCAATCATAGTGCTCTTTGCTGTTTATTGCCCATCCCTGAGACGGAAGATTCTATCATTTGTAATTTTTTAATAAAGTAAACAAATTTTACATTGATAAGAAGTTTAAGAATTTTTTTGAAAATATAAAATAAACCCTATATCATTTTAGTAAAAAAAAAAAAGAAAAGATAAATGCTCTTTGCAAAGACCACCATACAGAAAAATTTTAAGTATTTGTATGTCAATCAATTTCTGACATTCTTTTTACTGGGTAATTTCTATTTTTTGCCATTCATGTATCGCTCATTTCCTCATAACCTGTTACTTTGTACCTTTTGTTAATAGGAGTATTTAATAAGTAATGGAGGAAAAGTACAATATAAAACCTAATGGAACTCTGAAGTGAGATGTGTATTTCCCTGTGGTAAAAGAGTTTTACTGGAAACAATCTGAATGAGATTCAAATAGACAAAAATATCTATGAAAGAAAGAATACATATAGGAAGCATCTTCCTTGTCTTTGGTTTAGCCTTCTTGACCAAAATCTTCTGTAAACTTCTTTAATTTCAACAAGTCGTGTTCATTGTTGCACACTCGGGGTCCTGTTGTAAACACCTGGATACTCAGCAACCACCAGTTCTCCCCCATCATCCCTCCCCAGCACTTAGTATTTTATAGACATGGAAGAAACAGCCTGTCCAAAAGACTGTATCTAAAACTGTCACAATGCTCA